GGTGAGGTGGAGATGGGGGAAGAGAAGAGAAAATAAGAAACTGGAGCGAAATCAACATAATGAAGTTATGAAAAGCCCTTTATTTCTCACTATGCATTCAATTTCAGAGCACGAGGGTACAGGGGATGTGTGCATGCAATGGGAAAGACTGAGCTCATCCCTACACCACTCCAAATGGAAAAACTAAGCACTAATTCCATGGAGAGGCAGCAGAAAGAAACAGAAGGAGCCATCCCCTTCCACAAACATGGGGGAGAAATGCGTAAGGCGGCAATACATGCAGAAAAAGTTCTGGTGGTGCATCCCTCAAGGCTGAGAGGTATCAGGTTCCCAAGGCGGCCAAGCACTTCTGCAGCACTGGAGTGCCCTTACTGGGTCACTTTCACCCCTATGGTACTAGCAGAGGACTCCTAGATGGTGAGTCAATCTGGGAAGGGAGGCTTCGGATCTGTCCCAGACCTGCCAGTTGTCTTGCAGCTCCTTTTAATGTCTCTCTCTCCAGCCCAGCACTGTAATCTCAAACACAGCTCGGGGGAGAGAAAATCTGGCCTTTTAAGCAGGAGTTGAAAGGGTTCCTCACCACACTGCACAAGCACTGTTTGCCTGCTCCTTTCCCAGCCAGAAGGGAGCAAGGAGGAAATAGATGCTCAAGAGCCCAGGGAGGGCCCATCCCCACCCATCACTCCTCCCAACCCCAGGCCTCCAACCCCCACTGATTTAACTGTCCCTGTGACACAGTACAGAGACGAATGCAGAGACAAGTGAGAAGGGACATCCAAGGGGAAGACACAGGGAAATAAAACTACATCCCAAGCTTTGCGGGCTTCACAGGAAAAGATTTGGAGGAGGAACCACCCCTCTCGCACTGCATCAGAGGGAAAATTTTAGGGGTGGTCTGACAGATCCCCTCTCTGGGAAAAGAGAAGAACTAGAGCAGTGATGCTCAGACTGAGACTCGGGAGCCATAAGTGGCTCTTTAACACGTCTCCTGCGGCGCTTTGCAGCACATGATCATTAAAACGCTGTGTGATTTAATAATTAACCAATCTAAGTTATTAACCAGTCAGGATGCCTTTACTACGTTATTAACCTATTGTATGTAGTTGACAAAATAATAATACTTGGTCAGTCATTTTGCGGTGAGAATAATATATATTAAAAAAATAGCAAATGAACCAATGAATTCATTCTACTTTGGCTCTTTTGGGTAATGTTGATCACTAATTTGGCTCCTGCATCACTGAAGTCTGAGTATCACTGAACCAGGGGAAGTGGTAGTGGAGGTGGTCAGAGGAAAAGAAAAAGATTAAAATACAGAATCATCTGGAGCACAGTCTCCTTTGCAAACTGTGGACTGATCTCTCATACCCTGCCCATGCAAATGACTAGGAATCTCTGACTAACACATATATTTGGAGGGTGATGAGAAATGAAAGTATTTTCAACCACATTATTGCTTTATAATGGGGAAAATGCGTCTATTTTGATACACATATAAATCATTAAAAATTTCACATTCTTGTGCATTTGAGTAAGCGTAGGGGAGAGAACAACAGTAATTTAAATGTGCCAAATCTGTTTCATTCCAAAATTTAGGCTCTGAAAACCGGAGCACATGTGGGGGGTGTTTGCACAATTTAGGTTTCCATAATTTTTGTTACATTCATGTTGGAAACACAAAAACAACAGTAACAGCAGCAGCATTTCACTAGTTACTTGGAACGGGAGGGAAACAAATGGGAGTTTAGTCTAGTTTCCTTGTCATAAAGGAGTGGAGTTCACAAAGTAAACTAACAGCACAAACAGAGAAAAGTACAATGAGATTTTTAAAATCCATTCAGATTGAAAAGCTTCAGGTGTTCTAACACGAGCTTGGACATTAAAAATTATTTTGACAGTGCCCTTTTAGGCACCAAACTCTAAATGATGAGTCACATAATTGAAATTATTCACACCACCACCCCTGATATAAAATCCAGAAACGTGCAAGAGCAGAGAATGCGCTTTGTGTTTTGCCCAATTTGCATGCATCCCCAGGGATAGGCACAAGATTCAAATTTCCAAACAAGGATTCAAACAAGCACTTGCTGAAAGTGAGTATCTACAGTCTCATGGCACAATTAACGCATCTTTCCTTCGTCATCTTTTATCTTCACTGGGATAAAGCAAAGGAAGGGAAGATCTTTCCTCAAAAATCTCCAAGAGAAAAATTCAGCAGTAAAACCGGGGTGACCGGGTGGAGAGAGGTGAACTTAGTCTTTAAGAATTCTCTCTCTCTTTCGGGTTCATTGCCTCCTTATTTCTCACAGCTCTCTTTCAGGTTCATGATTTAGGATGCTAATTTTTCCACTTTTTGTTTAGGCCTCGCCGACTGCCTGTCAAACCAGTTAACATTCACTGTCTGACAAGTGAGTTCTATTACTCCCCTAAAGGCTGCAAAGAAGGTATTAAGACTATGTAGGGAATTATTTTCTTTAAAAATGTTGTTTGTCTTCAAGTCTCCTTTAGAAACAACTGGGGGCTTAGGAAGGGATGTGAAACCACAATGCGTTCCTCACACCCACACCGCATTTGGAATCCACATAGGGACCATCACTAGAAGAACTACAGTGCATTCCTCACACCTGGCAGTAAATAAGGCTGCAATTAAATGTGCATTATTTTATTACAGCCAACCTTGGCTAGTGATATCACCCAACTTTTGGTACACTATCTGGTACTCTACTTCTTGTCATTCTGAAAAGGCTTTGAGATGTGGCAAGTTTGACTAGAGAAATAATCAGAGTGTGTGTACAGATAACATTTAACTGGAAAGAAATTCAAATGACCACTGAAGGAAGAGTTGGATTTGCATCCCCAAAATCACAACTTACAGCAGCACAGTGATTTCTTAAACTCCAACTGTGCAAAAACTTAAGTCCGTACATAACGGTACACAGGAGCAGTGCCGTGGAAATCCGTGTCAGCGCAGACTGTAAACTCTGTGGGAAAGATACTCTTGCACTAGGTGCCTACACTGCACCCTGAACAACAAGGCCTCAGCCCTAGCTGGGGCCTTTACATGATACCACATTAAACATAAGAAACAGTCTTTCTAAAGCACAAGGTGGGTGAGGCAATATCTTTTATTGGATCAATTTCTGTATAGAAGATATTGCCTCATCTCTCTCTAATACCCTGGGACCAACAAGGCTACAACACACCGCAAACGATTCCTGAAGCACTACGCTTTCCCAAGCATGCACTCATAATGCCTGCTGAAGTCGGTGGTTTGCAGTGCACGTGTCTGAGCGAAGAATCTCGTCCCAGGACAGCAACATTTTTATTTATTCGTTTATGGAAACAAGTCCTACAGCCAAGACTGTCCAAACTGGCACGTACCTCCTCTCGCTTTGCTTTTATGGTTTTGTTTTTGTTTTTTTAAACTCGGTTCTTCAAATCTATTGGTTGTTTTAAAATGAATTCATGACATTAAGTTTCTGCATCTCAAGTAAAATGTTTGCTGCAGTTTCTGGCTATTCATAATTTTTAATTGGATACATTTCTCCATGAAGAGACTAATCCAGTCTCACACTAATGATCTATATTGAAGACCTAATGAATTCTTATTCTGACAGAACAACCCTTTTACGTTAGGACTCTAGGCTAAGGCCACAATTATAATAATGGAAAAATCATTTTTGCTGCTTCATGAAATGCTAAAAGAACTTTATAAAAAAAAAGCTTAACTGGGAAGCCATTTCAAAATTAAGCAAATACTACTAATTTATGCCTCAAACCCACAAAGACAAAAGGACATACTTTGCTTAACACACAGAGTAGCTCAATTTAATTCAATTAGAATACTAGTAGTAGGTAAAGCTAAGCATGTGATTACATCTTTGCAGGCTCGGGGCCCTAGCACAATACAGACTTTCATAATGCACTTCAATGCCCGTTCAAAGCCATCTAAAATAAGATCCTGTTTTAAATTGTCTGTATTCAGCAGGAAAACACATGGAATGATTAGAAGGCTCCAACTGACTGACTTGCTTCCAAGATAGGCAAATTCATTCTGAATATTTAGTGCAAAAGCTGAGCCAGAGACTGGATTTCCAATGTATTATTTCTGTGTTTGTTCAGCCCCACCTATGAGCTTAGTAGTGAACATAATATCAATACTTAACACTAACATGGTGCTTTTCCTCCTCAATGCACTTTACAAACATTATCTAATTAATTCTCACAATATTCTTGTTGTCATAGGTATTTATTATTAATAAGAACAAAAGGGGAAGAAAACAGTTTTAATTATTTTGGTCTTTTACCTTGTTGCGAACCGACCTCTTTACTTAGGATTCTGACACACATTGATTTGTTTTGTACCTTCTAGTCTGGCACTGCCTTTCCTTCTCACTTTCCATCCCCAAGCAGTCTCCCAAATTTGGGCCCAGTCCTGCAAACCTTTAATCACATGAGTTAATAGGCCTATCTCTGAGAGGATAAGAGTTACCGCATCAGTTGCGCAATTCTAGTGCACATTCTAATTTTTTTATTTTTATTTATTTACTTATTTTTAAAGATAACTGAAGGGACACTATAGCTCAGTCTTGTGCTTATTTTTTTGTAAGCGTGTAAACTAATTTAAGCCACAGCTACCAGTAGTGTTGTAAATTCAGAGGCAAAAACAGAAAAACTCACTTTCATTTGGTTTGCCTCCTTTTAGGAGAGTACACTATCATACCAACATTGCGTACCATTGAGAGCTCTGTGCTGTACTTTCCATGTATGCGCTGCAGTGGCTATTCTGTGTGCATCTGTCAGTTGAGCTTTCTCGCCAAAGCAGCCTCCCGAAAGATGCCAAGGTCTCCTTCTAGGTGAGGCAAGCTAAAGTTTCATTTGACAATGGATCTGATTTTCTCTCCAGTATGGAAAGTGTGTGAATGGGTAGCGTGTGTAATATATAGCTCGTCAATTGGTCACTAACAAAAAAAACTGAGTTTATGTTATATTCAACTTACTTTTTCATTCCATGCCCACAATCCAATTCCAAGAAATGCTATGCCCAGAAACTGAAAGAAACAAGAGGAAATTCGGGTAAGAACTGTGAATTGACTGTTACAAACATTTCATATATCAATTGCCCCTTCATCTTCACCCCTCTGTCTGGGAACCTCTGTACCTCTGACAGTCACGTCAAGATTTTTCCTGTGCTGTCGGCGTCCGAATACAACAGCTTCTCCTACAATTCCACAATTAAAGTTAGAGAATGAAAGGCTGTTTTCCTGGCACAGCAAACAGCCAGAGAACAGCAGGATAAGGGGCAAGATCCCTAAAGCAGCACAGCCAGCTTAATGTTTTCCCACATACACATCTCAGACGCCATGAACGTCACTTCCCCAACCACTCCACAAACCAACTCAAAGAAATATCTCCCAAGCCTCACATAAGCCAAGATCTGCAGCAGGACAACACAACATACCATCCTCGTTTTGCCAGTCAGCTGTACAGAGTTGCTTTCCATGCAACGCACAATAAGAGAAATTCGGCTAGAAGGAGGAAGCACTAAAATCCATATTCATTACCAGATATAGTTATGTTGCCCACATAATGGCCTATCAATGGGTACATTTTTAGACGAGAACTGTCATCAGAAAAAACTACTAAAAATAATCCTAAAATAAGCCTAAAACAAACATAATATTATAGCTTTCTATTTATTGGTTGCTTTCATATTTCACGACGAACAAGCTACTTCAGTAGGCCACGCAGCCAATAAGACACCATATCTTTGCATATCTCAGAATGGCACAGCATATTTTAAAACTATTGATCTCTCTCTCTCTGCATTCAGAAAACATTCAATAAATTAAATTAATAAATGACTCAATCTTGCATTCCCAAAATATGCACGTTTCCTTTCTCAAGTAGAACTTGCAGAGTTGAGCTATACTTGTGGTTTTGGTTCAAAGAGTTTTGCAAAAACTTTCTTCCAGTCTTGCTTCACATGATTTAAACACCTTTGAAGTTCTGGGTTTGTACTAACGCCAGAACTAAAGTCTATTGAGACGGATGAGGTTTTATAGAATACTAACTCAAACCACAAAATTGGTCCAAATTAATGGAAACTGAGTCAAGGCTGACAAATTTTGAGTTACTATTTACCACTGATTACATCACAATCTTCATGACTTCAGGGGACAGTTGCCCATCTAAGGAATTCCTTGTTCCATGGCTTATCTTCAGTACTGTATATGCCCATAAGATTAACAAGTGCCATGCTGCTTTAGGATTGTGTAACAGTCAAAAAGTTGAGGCTTTAATATAAACAAACACACACAAAATAACAGCCAATAACCAATGAGCAAAAGAACTACTTAGAAATAACAATTCCAGGGACAATGAGTTGTAATCACTACAATCACTCCTCTCTGGCAATAGGAAAATGTTGTTTTACTCATGTTCTATGGTTTCCAGGCATATTACTAGTTCAGCTGAAGTGTATGTTTGGCTGCTATGGCCCAGCGATACATGCATACCAGCTTCTTTGGTCATCCAGGAGACTCCAGAATGACCCTGAAGCCCGCACCACTTCTCACATATCCCATTGGCCGGGAACGGCGAACTGCGGCACTGGGAGCTGCAGGAGGCTGAGCCTGCAGACGGTCAATGAAAAAGAAATGTCTCGCGGTCCACCAGCAGATTACCCTGAGGCCGCGTGCCAAAGGTTGCCAACCCCAGCATTAAAGTTATTGATATAACTCCCTCACATGACAGCTATTAAACTCTGACTTTATTTGCAAATGTAATTCTCATGCTAGGAGTCAGTCTATTTGACCTCTGTGCAATGGCTGGAGGTAGACGTCAGGAGATCCCTGTAAATGTGGGTGGGGCCCCAAAGGGAATTCACCCATAAGAAACACACACAGCTACCCCTCAACAAAAGTAAGGAAGGGGAAGGCTACAATAAAAGCAAAACAGAACAAAAACCGCAAGGATCAACTAATTACAGTTGCAATACAGAATGAAAACAGGAAGGAAGTATACATCCAAGTTAAAATGAGGGAACCAGAGGGCACACAGAGACTTCTCAGAGAAAGCACCTGAGCAATCAGGGGACGCTGGCTGGATATATGATCTAAGGGGCGAAAGGAAATAGGTGTCACAGTCACAGAGAAATCCCATCACCACCACTGGTCAACCTCCTCTATAGAAGGAGCCAGACAGACAAATTTGGAGACTGAAGTCCTCTGTTTCTCCACAGAACTGATACAACAGACAGCAGTATAGCAAGCTTTCTCCACACCTGGTCAGCATGACTGGATTTGTCCTATAGGGGTCACTCTAGTAGCACTTCAGGCCAGATCCTCAAATGGTGTAAGTCAATGTGGCTCCACTGAAGCCCATGGAGCTATGCCAATTTACACCAGAGGAGGTGCTGCTCCTTCAAGTACATTTTAGTTCTTGGCCTCTCTGTTGACCCTGTTGGAACAAGGGTTCCAGTTAGTGGCATGGGTGGTAGATTTTTTTGCAATATTAGAGACCTGCCCACTGGTCAAATTCAAAGCCAGTTTGAATTGGGTGGGTTACAAATCAATAACCCAGACACAAAAGGCTCTATATACCAATTCCCTGATCCACCAAGTCCCCCAACCCTACTAAACTTTAACTACTTTCCTATGCCCCTGAATAAAAAGGGAAAATGGCTGTGTACTACGACATAATACCCTGAACCTTTGCCATTTTTTGTACATATACCTGCGAAGTTACTTTCAAGAAGATATCGAGTACCAAGCTCTAAAGATAAGTAATCCTGACAATGTTTTCCTGCCATGAAGGAAAGATGAAGGGGCAGCTGGGACTCCATGCAACATCCACTGTAAAATCTATTTCAATGAGTAAATGTCATGGTAGGAATTGACTTTGTGAATTAAATGAAGTGTGCTGTAACCCAAAAGATATTGTAGGGTTCAGAGTTGAAACTCCTATAAATGATCCATCAGGTAACCAGAATGGGCATATTAAACATCTCCTCTCTCCACACTGCCTGCTTACTAAATGGTACCATGGAGCAGGATTAACTGCAATGTAAGATAATGCTTGTCAAATGATTAAATCTACAACTCACTAATATACACCATTCCAGCATGCCGTGAGAGAGCACTTTTTAAATACCTAACAAACATCTTTAGGGCAGGAGAGATCTACAGCATTGCAATGTAACCAAGCAGAGCCTCTAATATAGAAAGAAAAGGGGGGGACGGGGACACACAAGTGTGCACACATGTGTGAGATTTTCTCCTCTGGCTTTAAAAAGAGTTCAGCTACAGAGCCATCTATATAGGCACTGGTTTGGGGCCACATAATAGAATGTTGCTTGAATGGCAAATTGATTTTCTTTGCAGTTTCTCTGCAATAAACTGATCCTGTTCATAGATTTTTTTTTTTTTTTGGCGTTCAGTATATTTTCTCTTAAGAGCTGTGTAAACAACTTAGTATACTAATGATTTTTCTTTCCAAAACCATGCCAAGAAACTACATTTACCTATCTGGGAAAAGGGGAGAGGGGAAATGGAGGGGATTCCCCAGCACTGAACTCAACAGCTTCGTAGTGAGTTCACTTCTTACTTCTATGCATTTTCGAAAAAGGCTATTTTAGTTATGTGCCACGAGAATTTCTATAAAATGTTAACTTAATATTAACCAAAACACTCAAAACTTACCCATGTTTTCAGAAAGGCACACTGTCAAGTATTTCAGGCCCAAAATTTTACATACCCGTTAAAGTTGAATCATCAGCAAATGTCCTCCAGATCATATCCACAGGTTTGGTTTTAAAAATCAGTATCCCTTGCCCTAAAGGTCTAGCGATCTTGCCCTTATACGTGCTTGAGACCAGTTAAAGTCAGAGAGAGCTTCGTGTGTAGGCTGCAGAATCAGGTCCGACGGGTCCGTAATTACTATCAAGAGACATGGATGCTAGCACCACACTTTACCTACGTTCCAGGCGAACACGAGAAGTCGGTACGATGCCCTATGTTTGTATAAGGGGCACATGGAAAGCTTGATTTACATGGGCACCTACAGTAAACAAAAAACATCTCTCTCTCCTCTCTCTCTCTCTTTTTTTTTTTTAAAGTACCTACCTACTTGGGAACGGAGAGCTCAAGTCTTAATTCCAGGTAGATAACCAGAGAGACGTTCGCTAACAGGATTTAAGTTACCTGACAACTTTTAGATATATGGCTCACATTTCAAGCCGTGATGGGACACAATACATCAGGCCTTAAACCTGCCTTGGCCCAATGACAAGAACATTACCCCCAAGAATTCTGGAATCCAACAGAATCCATTAATCACAGAAATATCATCCTCACACCACTTCCAGTGCCCTGACAGGCAAGAGGGAAAGCCCTGTCTTCCATCTGGAAGAGACAATGATTAGACCATAACTAACTGTCTGCTGTCTACACCCCACCACCACCACCACACACACTAAGTGTTAGATCAGATTCAAAGTGTCACCTCCTCAGCTGTAAGCAGAGCTAGGAACCATCTGGGATGATCATATTTACCACAGTGGCTGTGACTAACCCGGGAGAGCTGTCATTCACATGGATGTTGAAATTCCCCAAGACAGCCCGCCCTAGCCGCTGCAACAACAGGCTCCAAAAGACCACTCTGGCAGCCGTGACAGGAAGTCTGGGGGAATGGCATGGCGGTCTGTACTCCACAAGGACACCCTCTGCCCTCCCACAACCCAGTCAGCCTCCTCCTAGCACCTGCCTATCAGATAGACAAACTCCTTTGAGAGCAATAGGCCCTTTCTACATCCGAGATCAGATGCACACCCAGTACTGACTCCAAAGCTGACTTTCTTCCTCATATGGATTTTTTTTAACTTCTTTCCATATGGAGGAAGGGGCCTTCTCTGCATCAGCGTCTAGAACTTCACCTACTGACTTGCTGAAAGCCACTGGGTCTCTTCCCCTTCTGGCTCTTTCCCCTTGCCAAGCCAAAGCACCCTTAAATTCCTTACTGTTACACGGTGCTCTTTCACATATTCTTTCAA